TGGGGTGAGGGGTGTGGGGTTTGGTGGTCTGGGGTTTGGGTTTTGGGGCTTGGGGTGTGGGGTTTGCTGTCTGGGGTTTGGTGCTTTGGGTGTGGGGTTTGGGGTTGGGGGATTGGGGGTTTTTGTTTTTTGTTTTTTGTTTTTTGTTTTTTGTTTTGTGTTTGGGGTTTGGGGGTTTCGGGTTTGGGGTGTGGGGTTTGAATACCGGCCCTTATTTGTTGTTCCCCAGCACCAAATCTCGCCGTTGTTCTGTGTTCCCACGGTGCAGGGTTTAGGGCGTAGGGTTCATGGTTTCGGGTTTTAGCAAAATCCTTCAACCACCAACCCTAGGGTGCTTGCAGGACTCTGGTTCAGGGAGAGGAGAGGAGAGGAGAAAAGAGGTGAGGAGAGAGGTGATGAGAGAGAGGCAGACAGCAGAGAGAGGAGAGAGAGAGAGAGAGAAGAGGAGCGCGAGAAGGAGGGAGAGAGAGACAGGAGAAGAGAGACAGGGAGAGAGAGCGAGAGAGAGGAGAAAAGAGAGAGAGAAAGAAGACAGAGAGAGAGAGAGAGAGAGGAGAGAGTAGGGAGAGAAAGGAGAGGATAGAGGAGATAGATAGAGAGAGAGAGCAGAGCAGAGGAGCGAGAGAGAGAGGGAGAGAAGAGAGAGAGAGGGAGAGAGAGAGAAAGATGCGAAGAGGGAGAGAGGGAGAGAGAGAGAGGAGAGGAGAGGAGAGGAGAGGAGAGGAGAGGAGAGAGGAGAGAGGAGAGAGGAGAGAGGAGAGAGAGAGAGGAGAGAGGAGAGGATAGAGAGAGAGACAGGAGAGAGAGAGGATATAAATATATAAATAGAGAGAGGAGACAGGGGAGAGGAGAGAGGAGAGAGGAGAGAGGAGAGAGGAGAGAGGACAGATGAGGTTTGTACCAGAGGTCGTCGGAATCCGACGGCCTTCAGTACAAATCAAGGGGATTGAAAAATGCGATTTGCTCCAACTCTGAGGGCTGGTGGTATATTCAATGAGGAGGCCCGATCAGGTGAGGCAGAGCTAGTCTTTCTCCATGCCTCCCACCCTTTCTAACTACCTTGCCACCAGAATTACGGCGTCCACCCTGAGGGTACAAATCCGGAAAATGTGGGTTTGCATTTCGGAGAAAAAGATGCGTTGTAAGACCCGTACAAGAGCTCTTGTACTCCCGCAGGAGTGACCCTTGCCAGAAGAGACTAGTCTCCCCACCCACGAGAAGTTTAGAGGCTAACGTCCTGAAAACCGGGTAGTTAAGCCTACGGTATTGCCCACGGTAGGCTGGGGGTTTCCTACGAATCATTAGGTCCTAGGAGCCCTACGGCCTATCGTAGGCAATACCGTAGGCCTAACTACCCAGTGTTCAGGACGTTGCCCTATCAAAGCGAGGCAGAGCGAGTCTTCCCTCAGGGAAAAGAATTTATTAACAGGATTGGATGAATCCCAAAATTCGGATTTGAGCAAATTTGCCCTCTAATTTGCTACTTTGGGGTGGGGCCCTACTCTAGCAAAAGGACCTCAAAAGGTTTCAAGAAAACCGCTTGAGCAAAAGTTATTTGCTACTCATTACTCTACTTTATCAAAGTAGATGCCGGTCGTGTCCGTCCGTGTCCGTCCGTCTAGTATATAAACGGTGAAAATGTTGTCTCGTGTTCACAAATGAACTTCTTTTTTGCTCGACCCCGTGGCTGACTGGTAGAATCGTTAGACTTTCTGCGAAAGATCCCGAGTTCGATTCTCTGATCTGCGTGCTTCTTTGCAAAAAGGAGAGTGGCGCGGGTAAAAAAGTAGGCCTTCTCTTTGTGAAAAGCCGATTCGGTCATTAAAAAACATGTTCCCCTATCGAAGCCATGATCTTTTCGCTCTGCGAGGTCCATAACCTAGAATTTTTGCTCAAAGTAGAACTTTCTCAATTTTGGGAATCATTTTTAGATGGACACTTTCAAAAGCAGCAAAAAGTAGGCTTCCCGAATTTTGGGTTTCATCCATTAAGAGGAAGATAAGGGAGATAAGGGAGATCATGGAGATTAATGAGATACGAGAGATCCTCCCACCAGAGCAGTGCGGGTTTGCATTTCGGCAAAATACGGGTTTGCATTCGGTGAGAAGAAGATGGGTTGAAGGAGCCTTACGAGAGCTGCGCACGAAAATTGTTGGCTCAGCTGAATTGCCACAGCCCCGCTCATCCCCGCCACCAGGTTGTCCTCTCTCTGATCCTGTTCATTTGGGACATCCCACACCCCGCCTCAGTTAATTTGGGGCATCCCACACGCGACATAAGATGGTACAGGTTATGAATCTAGATGACACCCCCCCCTGCCACACCGACATCAGCGGCGCGTTTAGGGTTCAGGGTTAAGAGTTTGAGGTATAGGGTTTACGGTTCAGGGTTCCGGGTTTGGGGTTTATGGTTCAGGGTTCAGGGTTTAGGGTTTAGGGTTTAGGGTTTAGGGTTTAGGGTTTAGGGTTAAGAGTTCAAGGTATAGGGTTTAGGGTTCAGGATTCAGGGTTTAGGGTTTAGGGTTTAGGGTTTAGGGTTTAGGGTTTAGGGTTTAGTGTTGAGGGTTTAGGGTGTGGTGTTTAGGGTTTGGGGTTTGGGGTGTGGTGTTTGAAGTTTATGGTTTAGGGTTTAGGGTTTAGGGTTTAGGGTATGCGACTACCGGTGCCCAGACATGAACATCGTCCACAGTTCCGATCTGACCTTGATCGTTATTACCCCAGCATGTAACCTTTCCTTGGTCCTGATGAGGGGTTTAACCCACGATTAGAGGTTTCACTGCGAAAACGAAGAAAATCGTTGCTAGCACCGAATACTGCTGCGGAAATGGGTCATGCTAGCAATAGTAAACCATTCGACTAGTGATTTTTGTTGGCGAAATATTTTGATTCGTTTCCGTAGTTAGGTTTGTGGTTTATGGTTTAGTTTTTTTGGGGGGGGTTGGGGTTTAGGGCTCGCACGCCTTTCCACGAGGGCCTTGTCATTCCTGCTGCTGCTGCAGTTGCTGCAACCTCTCTCTCTCGCTCTCTCTCTCTCGCTCTCTCTCTCTCTCTCTTCCTCTCTCTCTCTCTCTCTCTCTCTCTCTCTGCCTCTCTTTCTCTCTTGTTCTCTCTCTCTGTGCCTTTCTCTCTTTCTCACTCTCTCTCTCTGCATCTCTGCCTTTTTCTCTCTCTCACTGTCTCTCTGTCTGCCTCTCAGCCTCTCTCTCTCTCTTTCTCTCTCTCTCTGCTTCTCTCT